GTTCTAAAAAATATGAGTTAAAAACAGAACTTATTTAAATTCCACATAAATTTCCCTCACCGTCACCGGCGGCCGTTTTCCGTTCAATGTCTCCAAGATCGCTTACAGCCGACGTGGTCCGACCACCAGAAGATCTCCGACGCGTTCGTCGACTTCTTGAACCGTTTCCAGTCGCAGAGAATTGCCCGGAGATCGCCGATCTTGGCGACGATCGTCCGGCAGCAATTGGCGTGGACGGTGGTGACTTGCTTAAAATCGTTGCTCTTCTGGCAAAATCCGCTGAAAAACAGAGTGTTGAGAAACCTAACCTTGAGATTAAGTTGGCGGAAAATGCCGGCGCGGATTAGGTTGTGGAGAACGTCCTGCTCCTTGAGGCCGGCGGAGGCGTTCTTCATGGCGTACCATCGATCGAAGAGCGCTATGGTTTTGTTGTTGGATCGGACGAAGTAGAAGCCGGTGTTGATCGGATTCGCGTCCGACCAGTGATTGCCGTTGAAGTTATCGGTGCTGATTTGAAGATCTTCAGTTTCGTCTTTACTTAGCTTTCCAAATGGGTCCCTCAGCCACATTACATCTGTATCCTGTTCCACCAAAATTTTAAAAATATCAATTATAATAATAATAATAATCTCAAATATGGTAAAATAAAATATTTTTTTTCTTCCATTTAAAACTAACATTTTTTTTAATTTTTCGATGTAATTTAAAAAATAAATATGAATTATGTAGGAATATTGTGAGGGAATTAAATTTATGTACCTCCAACCTCGGTCATTAAACAATTGACAACTAAAAAAGATTGAAAACATGAAAAAAAAAGAGAAAAAAAAATAAATATTTGTTAATTTTATTTTTGCGATAGGTAGGAAGATAAACACTTACAATTATTATTTTGTAGATTTTACAAATAAATAATATAGTAGAATGCATTAATATAAACACGGTTTTTGAAAAAGATAAATTATATATAACTGATTAATTGTTGTAATACATTATATTAGGTTGACTATGAAATTATGAACCTTGAATTTGGAAATAAAACAATAATTTATAAATACAAATAATAACTATGATTAGTGGATTCTTTCATTTTCCATATCCATTACATCTCCTACAAGGTTAAAATATTTCAATTTATCATGATGAAAATATTAAATGTGTGATTCATTTTGAAGGCAAAAAAAATAACCATTTGTTGATGTAGAAATAAAAATAAATAAAAATAATGCTCATCATGATACAAATGATTTTATGGAAACCGGCTAAGTTGTGGATGCTTTCATTTTCCAAAACCATATGTACCTACTACAAAATTGAAAATATTTCAATTTATCATGATAAATGTATTGGTTTAAATGTAGTTTTGATATTTTTACTTCTTTCTTATTAGTTCTAAAAACAAACTTCTGAAATCTATGGTAAGTTTATCAAGTTAATTTAAGTAATGACGAATAATATAATAATGAAGTATTGATAATTAGAACTAAATTTTTTGTGTTAAAAACTTAGAAATTAAACTATATTTAAAATTGAAAATAATCGTTTATTGGTATTTTTTTTCAAAATTTAATTTTGATTTTAAAAACAATTCAAAAAGCAGATGAAAAATTTTAAAATTTACCGAAAATTCTGTTCATAAATTTATTTTTCAAAAAAAAAAAAATAGTTATTTTCGTTTGTCGTTTAAGAACACGAAACCTACAAATATAATTTTATATATATAGATAAATCAAACAGTTAGAGTCTATAATTGATATAAAATATTCGTCTAGACGTCAAATTCGGTTTATAAAAATCAAAATTTCAAATATTATAGAATGAATGCAGAAAAGAAAAAGATTACGAAAGCTGAAGATATTATAACGATTTATTGTTATATTATTTTGAAAGGATAGTTTAAAAATCAAACCAAGTATGCTCCAAAAATCAGTTGGATTTTGAAAATTTTTTTCGAAAAGAAAGCCACGATCCCGAGCAGTTCGGCGCGCACTCGAAATCGAATCTCCGGCCGCGTACTGCTCCAAGATTTCCCCGTCAGTCGTCGATGAAGTTCATATATCCAAAATCAACGTTTCACGAAAGAGAGAGATCAGGACGGAATAATAATATGTTACCGTGAATATGAAACTGTAACCACGCTTGAGAACGTCGAGCAGGAGCGAAGTTCTTCTCCACATCATTTTGATGAATTCCTCTGACATGTAAAGCTTCTCTCCGCCGAAATCCACTCCTTCCGTCTCCAATTTGAAGCAATTAAGCCGCAGAAATCGGCAGCGATCGTACGCCGTTTGATCGACGGTGACGAGGAGAAGATGATCCAGCAATCGTCTCGTGTCCTCTCCCATCCAAAAACTACTGAGAAACACATCGAGCATCGTCGTATCGTCTTTGATTCCTTGATCCGCATACGCCTTATTTATCACAGCGATAACCACCGTCTTGTTCGCCATCGCCGCCTTCGCAAGCGCCACATCCAGATCGTCTCGKGATTCGACGGAATCGGTTAATTCTTCAACCTGCGCAAATGAAAAATTAGAATCGCTTCAATGCAGAGAAGAAGGAGAAATTAAGCCCTAAGCAATTATCACCGAATTGGAGCGATGGCATCGGAAGCCTGTGGGAAAGAAAACGAGAGGATTCAGAGAGTATGCGGAAGGACCGGCGACGATCAGAAGAAAGGAAGCGATCAAAAACAGCAACAGAAATCCATAAGTTAAGAGAGGGGGTTTCTTCGGCGGGAAATCCATCGCTTTTCGTCTCTCTTTTTTTCCCTTTGATTTTTCTCGTATTTTATGGGAAAAGAGAGAGCTCTAGATAGCTGCTTTTCTGATTAAACCTTTTAAATGGAAGTCAAGTCAACGAAACCAAAGTTTAATTAACTAAGATTAAATTACTAATTTGGTCCTATACTTTGAGCTTAATTTCAAATTCATTTTGGTTAGTACGACTAAAGTCTAAATTAAAGTTGAATTTAGTATATCTTAGCACTTTTTTTYCCTCATGTTTTTGCATTTCGATACCTATATTCATTTTACTTAGGTGTTAATTAATATAATTAATCGGCACTTACATTTTTGTGTAAAAATAGATAAGTTTTTTGGAAAATAAAACTCTTAATTTTCAAAGGGTGGTGAGCATAGAGACTTACCTAAATACTAATATTATTTCAGCAATATAACTTTTTTAAAATGTTTTTATTTAATTATTTACTATCAAAATTTTTAAAAAGTCCTTTTTAATTATCGAAAATACTGTATTAAACACACTAAATTAGTAATTCTTTCATATGTGTTGGTAGAAAAAGTGATTTTATTTTTTCTTTTAAATATTTTTTTTTCCAAAATGCTCATCCGAAAAGCTAGAGATCAAATTGAAGTTGTAAATATTACAGATATATTTTTTATATATCTTACCAAAATTAAGCTATATTTAAATTGGTTGCAGACGGAAACGRAATTAAAACCAAAGTCTATGGGACTAAATTAAAATTTTAAAATTATGGGGTCAAATTAGTAATTTAACTATTAATTAAGTAAAAATTATTTAAATTAACTGTAAAAATATGTGGCTTTATTGGGATAATTATCGATGTTCACTGATCTTTAGTACAATAGACGTGGATAGAGATTTGAACTCTCAACCTTATATACCGAACTATGTTTTAGTTGATCGATGTTGACTAATTAATATATAATACTTAGGTGCTGGTCGGTAATCACTTATATATCTTTGTGCTTATCTTTGAAAACAAAAAAAAAATAACCATTTTCTTCATTTCTCTCTTCTCCCCGTCAAAAATTAAATGGTGACCAATAAAAAATGCGGTAAACACCTAAATATTTTTTGTTATTTGGATGGGGTAAACACTAGTTCTAAGAGTAGTATTTTTAATTAAAGCATTTTTTCTGATAAAAMTTTTATTAAAAAAAATGAAAATACTTTTTTAGTTGATAATAAAACTTATATACATGTCTTAATAGCTRATTTATGWTTCTATCGGCTAAAAAAGATTTGCAAATGGGTTGCATACAAATAAATTAGTCATRAGTACTCTAATAAATGCTGTTAATTGCTTTTTCGGTCAAATTTCTAGACAATAACACTTTTTAGGTACTCTTACTTTTTTCCAAAGTTATTTTATGTTCACATACATAACATTTTGATCCATARTTGTCTTTTGTTATATCAAAAACACTCTAGAATATAGCCTAACAACAACACCTCTTTTATCTTTAAAAAACAACATTTTTTTATGTGTCAATTGAACATAATTTAACTGGTCAATGCACCTATCTACGACCRAAAGGTCGTAAATTCAAATTTCCACCTCCATATGTTGTATTAAAAAACCTCCTCTCTTTTTTCTCCCCTAACTATGCAAAATGGTCACCCATTACATAGTTAAAAGCAACATCTTTTTTTTTCAAAGTGGAAAATTCGAACAAACGATTTTTTGGTCAACAAAAAT